CCAGGGTGTGCAGGGATCGCTAGAGAAGAGGGTGGCTCCCTGCGAGGCCCAGAGGCCCAGAGGGAGTTCGTGGTGGGACTCGCAGGCTCCCACAGCTAGAGCGGCCCTGAGCAGGACCAGGCAGCCCAGCCTCGCCACCAGAGGGCAGGCTCAGAGCCAGGGGATGGGGCCAGATCCCAGCTCATCACTTGGTGCTTGGCAGCGGAGGGCAGGGTCCTTGGCCCCTCAGAGTCTCCGTTTCCTCGGCTGCTAGATGGGGTGAGCCGAGGTGGCCCTGCCACAGTTGTCGGGAGAGTGCAGGACCGCCGCTGCTTGCAGAGCGCGCGTGAGCATCAGCGAGTACGGCTCTGTCCCTCTGAAGGTGACTCTGCCCGTAGGCAGTGGGAGCCCGGTGCTCCGGTGCCACCTGGTGTCCCGCAGTCTGTCTGGCTCTCGCACTGGCAGGGGCCTGGCAGGGCCAGGGAACAAGGGCTCCCGTCACGAGCTTGGGCTGGGCGCTCAGCAGCTGCTTATGGATTCAAAAAGCATCTTCGTGCCGCTGAGCCAAATGCCATGGACACCTTGTTCCCTGCGCGAGGCAGTGACTCAGCCATTGTGCCAAGGAAGTGACGGGAAGCTGTTGCTCTGGAGGAGGCACCCCGAAAAGGGTGTGAGGCTCGTCTTCGGTGGGGAAGCCCGGTTCCCACCTCCCCTCCTGCGTCACACTCTGACGTCCCGCAAGGACACTGAGCTTCCTAAGGCCGGGCCTTGGGTTCACTCTCTGTGGACTCTGTGATCGGGACCTTGTTGAAATCATGTGCCATCACCCAGCAATCCTGAAAGAGCCCCTTCAGGTTCAAGGAACAGCAAGCCTCCAGCTCAGGTCACCTTAGGACACAGGTCAGCTTTGCCTGCCTGCCTGCTTGTCTGTCTGTCTGCCCGCCCCCTTCCATGTGCCAGGCACTGCTCATGCAAAGACAGCAAGTGGGCTCCATCCCTCAGAAGCACAAAGTGTAGAAAGGAAGATGACACACACACCAATAATTCCGGTGTTACCGAGGGCTGTGAGAGCCGAGGACCATGACTAGCTCTGCTAGAGGCCAGCAGGAAAAGCTTCAGAGCGGAGGTGATATTTGTGCTGGGTTTTGAGATATAAATAGGAGTTCACCAAACAGTGAGTAGGAGGAAGGAAATTCCAGGCAGAGAGAACAGCCTGGGCTAAGACCACAGGTAGGAGATAATGATGCTTTCGAAGAATGGCGCACAATTTACTTTTCTTATTTATTATTTTAAAATATATTTTTATTGATTTCAGAGAGGAAGGAAGAGGAGATAGAAACATCAATGATGAGGGAGAATCATTGATCTGGTTGGAGCCCACAACCCGGGCATGTGCCCTGACCGGGAGTTGAACCGTGACCTCCTGGTTCATAGGTTGCCGCTCAATCTCTGAGCCACACTGGCTGGGTTGGTGCAATTTAAAACTTATGAATCATTTATTTCTGGAATTTTCCATTTAATATTTTCGAACTGCAGTTGACCATAGGCAGCTAAAGCCATGGACAGCAAAACCACAGATAAGGGAGGATGACTATGTTTTTCTTTTTTCTAATCTTCACATTTCTATTAGGAGCATGGCTAGGCCCCGGTTCCTTATTCACAATGCCCGAACCCAAATAGCCCTGGAAAACAGAAGTGATTTTCTTTCTCTGGGAGGGAACTCATCTTGTGGCAAAATGACCTGCACAGCTGGGAGGCTATTTATAGTCCTCATGGATGCGCTGGTGTGAACTGCCATCTTCTGCGCCAGAAACACGAATGCATTTGATTACAGGTTTGTCCCAGGCCCGCTCAGGGTAGCGTGTAGCTCTGTGGCACACGCACCATATTGCCTTTTGACACTAGAATTAGAAGCGAAATCCTGATTTCCCAAACCAGGCCGGCCCCCGGTGTGTCGGTAAGGAAGCGTGGGCCTGGATCACTTTTGGAATGCAGGCGGCCTGCTCCATTTCTCCGGTGGTCTCGCTCTCCGTGCTGGGACCAACAGAAACCGCGTCCACCTGTCCGCACGTCCAGCCTTCCCTCCCAGCCCAGCTGGCCCCCAGCAGGTGATTTCGCCTCCTGCTTCATGGCCGCCTTAGGAGGCGGTGGTAGGAGGGCACCGTGGCCCCGACGAGTGAGCTCCATTACTGCGAGCAACTCATTTCACCTTGGGCCTCAGTTTACTCTTTCAGTAATCCCTGCCCCCACCCCCGCCCCCCAGACTTCTCTGTCTCTACCAGGTCAGAGGCATTTGCTGGATCACATGCTACTACGTGCCAGGCATGACTGCTGGCTGTACATTTAATTCTCGCAGTCACTCTGCGAGGGAGACTCTACTATTATTCCCACTTTCCAGATAAGAAAACTGAGGCTCAAGAAACAGGCACTACCACTTGCCAAGTCCTCTCGGCCGAGTGAAAGTGGGAGTCAGATTTAGAACTGCGTCTGTCTGACTCTAAAGCCCTGTGCTGGGTCCAGCTGCGGTCCCTGCTTTGCGTAACAGAGGAGACAGGATGTCTAAAGGCATGGGAAATTGCCCCAGGCTGTCTAGATGCTGTGTGGCTCAGCCTCCTGACCAGCCTGAGAGCAGATGGGGTCAGGCAGGGGCTACCCCTCTCTGGAAGGGTCTTAGATCTGTGCCTCAGGTTGGGTGAGCGAGGTGGGTTCCTCTGTAACCTGTGACCTGGGGCATGGAGGTGTGTATGAGTGAACCTTTTCTTTCTGGGACCAGGGAGAGCAGGTGGGCAGGAGGAAGACGGTGGTATCTTTGTTTATGGTTTGAGGTAGAGGAGGTCTCAGGAAGACCTTGATGTTCGCAGTTCTCAGGCTGCACACTGGACAACTCTAGGAGGCACCATTCACACTCTAATCTAAGTGAGTGGCACTCCCTAGAGTCGTGCACTGCACACCATGTCTGATGGCCCTGGAGATGCTCCTTCGCGAGATAGCCCCGTGGTAAGCCATGATCGTGGTTAAAATGAGCAGGGAACCGACCGTGCAAGTGTGTGCGCCCGTTCTGTCGTGCCTCAGCCCGACAGTGAGCCTTTACCACATGCGCCTGGATCTGCATTTTATCAGCGACACCGTTGCAGGGGGTGAGGGGACATGCCCAAGGTCACACAGCTCCGCTCTTCACCACTGTGCCTCGGGGCCTCTGCACTCCGTTGAGGCTGAGGGAAGGGGGTTGGTGGGAACCCCGTTGCACTTGAATGAAACCGTTACTGCGTGTCTCCTTTCTTCCCCTGCCACGGTCCCCTCCCGCATAGCTGGACAAGATGCTGGACCCGCAGGTGTGGCGGGAGGCGGCCACGCAGGTCTTCTTCGCCCTGGGGCTGGGTTTTGGGGGCGTCATCGCCTTCTCCAGCTACAACAAGCAGGACAACAACTGCCACTTCGACGCCGCCCTGGTGGCCTTGATCAACTTCTTCACCTCGGTGCTGGCCACCCTCGTGGTGTTCGCCGTGCTGGGCTTCAAGGCCAACATCATGAATGAGAAATGCGTGGTTGAGTAGGTGGCACCTCTTCCTGCCCTTTCTCCTCCCTGTCCACCCCCCCCCGGGAGGGGCAGGTGGGCCGTGGGTGGGGAGTCCCTGTCCCCGGGCTGAGGATGGAGATCAGGGGAGCTCTCCGTCCCAGCCCCGGACCACAGGGGCAGATTCACAGATGCCTCTGCTGATGGCCAGTGGGTCCCGCCTGGGTACCAGGAGGGACCCCCAGGTTTGTGCCCACTGCTGCCTTTTTACCTCGTCCTCTCCCCTTTGTGCCGCAGGAACGCTGAGAAAATCCTGGGATACCTCCACACCAACGTCCTGAGCCAGGACCTCATCCCTCCCCACGTCAATTTCTCCCACCTGACCACCAAGGACTACTCGGAGATGTACAAGGTCATCATGACCGTGAAGGAGGACCATTTCTCAGCCCTGGGCCTGGACCCCTGCGTGCTGGAGGACGAGCTGGACAAGGTGTGGGACGGGCTGGGAGGCAGACAGTCCAGGGGTGGCTGGGGCTTGGGTGCGGGCTACAGAAAGCCACCAGGGACCCATTCATTTACTTGATAAGCAAGGACCTTATTTTCATGTGTCCAGAGAGGGAGAGAGGAAAGGTATCAGCTCATACCCCTGCCCTGAGGTCAGTTTGATCCCTGGTGAGCAGGGGCCCAGAATTACTGCAGTTGTCCGCTACCTCACCTGCCCATCAGTGCCACCTGGGGTTTTATAAAACCCTGATACCCGGCTTTACCTCCCGACCAATCAAATCATTGTCCCTGGGGTGAGCCAGGCATCGGTGTTTTTAAAGGCGCCACTGTGATCATGGGGCAGGCGGGCTGAGATCACTACATTCAGGCCTGGAGTTCAGAGCTGGGAGCAATCAGGGAAGGCTTCTTGGAGGAGGAGAGTCTTGAGCTGGGTGTGTTGCTAAAAGGGAGCGTCTTCATCTGAATTACCTGGGGTCCTTGTACACCTTGCAGATTCCAGACCCCACCGCTGAACTCCTGAACTGGTTGGTGTTTTACTGCCTTGGTGGGGGCAGGATTCTGATGCAAACTCAAACCCGAGCCCCGCTGGCCAAAGCAGCGGGATGTAGGTGGGGGTGGGGACCCCTGGGAAGAGGGAAGAGTCAATCCTAAAGCTCTGAGGAGCTCCCAGGGTGGGCGAGGGCCCTCACTGAGGCCTGGCCCTCCCTCCGCCCGCACCCGCAGTCCGTGCAGGGCACAGGCCTGGCCTTCATCGCCTTCACCGAGGCCATGACGCACTTCCCCGCCTCCCCGTTCTGGTCCGTCATGTTCTTCCTGATGCTCATCAACCTGGGCCTGGGCAGTATGATCGGGACCATGGCGGGCATCACCACGCCCATCATCGACACCTTCAAGGTGCCCAAGGAGATGTTCACAGGTACCTCCTGGCAGCCTCCCCCGCCTGCAGGCATGTCTGGGTGTGGCTCTGACGGAGAAAGCCTGGGTTCTGACTCATTCCTGACCCACAGGGCTGGGCCTGCTGCAGGGTGGGCTGTAGGTCTGGGGAGTGGGCGTTGGGGGGGCCTGGGTGCCCCCAAGAGCCCCGGGCCCGCCCACCGCACCCCTGCCCCCACACCGGCCTCCGGCTCTCTGTAGTGGGCTGCTGTGTCTTTGCATTCTTCGTGGGGCTGTTGTTCGTCCAGCGCTCGGGAAACTACTTTGTCACCATGTTTGACGACTACTCGGCCACCCTGCCGCTCACTGTCATCGTCATCCTCGAGAACATCGCTGTGGCCTGGATCTACGGGACCAAGAAGTAAGGGGCGTGGGGGAGGGGGAGTGCACGGCCCCAAGGGGCTGGGGTCCCAGAGTCAGGAAGCCAGAGCCGGAGGTGCTCCTGCAGATCACGTAGAGGCTGAGATGCTGCGGGCGCGCGTCTCCTGGGTTCAGGTCCTGTCGTCGCCCTAAACTGCCTTGATGCTCACAGCATCTTTCCTGGGCACCAGCTCCTCAGAATTCAGTGCAGCGTAAGCACCTAGCGGGTGCACAGGGGCCCCTGCCCTCCGCACTCATGGACTTCAGCAGCCCTACTCAGCATTAAGGCTATTTACACATGGTGTGAGGCAGGGCGTGGTTTGGGCCCTCCGTTTGGGTGAGAGAATTCAGCAATAAGAAGGGATTAGGTCTTGTGGCCTGAGCCAAGGACAGCCCCCGGCCTCATGGCTCATGAGAGCCAATCTGTACTCCCAGAAAGCCCTGCGACCAGGTCCCCCTCACTCGCTCAGCAAGGTCAGGGCTCCACTAACCCTCTCGGCCCTCCCCTTCCCTTCCCTCCCCGATGTCTGGACCTGGCCTTAGAATCGGGCTCTCTCACTGTCGCTGATCCAGCCACCCGCTTCCTGGCACAGGGTAGCGGGCGGTGACAAGGCAGGGAGCAGCCGTGAGCAGGGCTGGGACACGCTGCCCGGAGGTGCTGACCTCGGCAGCCTGGGGAAGCCCCGTGCCGTCTCGGAACGCTGTTTTTAAATGCACATGATAACATAGCATTGTACAGGCAACGTTATATTGACAATTAGCAAAATGCTGTTTCAAATCTGAGATGTGATATCTGTGTACTTTATTTTTTAAAATAAGTTTTTATTGATTTCAGAGAAGAAGGGAGAGGGAGAGAGATAGAAACATCAGTGCTGAGAGAGAATCATTGATCGGCTGCCTCCTCAGGCCCTACACTGGGGATCAAGCCTACAACCTGGACATGTGCCCTGGCCAGGAATTGAACCGTGACCTCCTGGTTCCTACCAGGCGGGCTCTGACTTTATTTTTACTGCATTACATTGTAAGACCTGGCTGTGGGCTTCGTGGCCATGGTAGCTCCAGAGAAGCTGTGAGCAGAAGTGATCTTAGGAGGTCTCTTCAGTTGTAATGTGACAGGAACATATCTGAGATTTAATCAGCTGCTGGCAGTCACAGGAACGGTTAACACTCTGTGGTTGTTCGCATTTGTAATAGAAAGAAATGCAAGATTTCGGTTAGGTGTTATTGAGGTAGAGGTGATTTTTTAAATGCCATTCGTGGGCACAGTCTGCGAGCCCCCCCAGAATTCAACCCACAGGCACGGTAGTTAGAAACCCCTAGTCAGGGCAGCCTCTGGACCAGCCGTGGGCAAACTATGGCCCGCGGGCTGGATCCGGCCCGTTTGAAATGAATAAAACTAAAAAAAAAAAAAAAAAGACCGTACCCTTTTATGTAATGATGTTTACTTTGAATTTATATTAGTTCACACAAACACTCCATCCATGCTGTTGTTCCGGCCCTCCGGTCCAGTTTAAGAACCCATTGTGGCCCTTGAGTCAAAAAGTTTGCCCACCCCTGGTCTGGACACCAGGGAAGTGCACTTCCCCCTCTTTTCCAGCAGGGGGAGTCTAGAGCCAGGCCAGTGCGAGTGGGGGTGGGGGCTGCCCAGAGCACAAAGCCCTCGGGTGCCACCTGCCAGGCAGAGTGTGTCCTGCGGGGTGTATTATATCCTGGGTGGGTGTGATTTGATGTAGTCAGAGGATCTTAGTGGAAGACGGCAGAGCCTGCCCAGATGATATACCAGGAGCGCTGAATGTGAAGAATGGGTGGGATGGTCAGAGAAGGCTTCCTGGAGGAGGAGGCTGTGGAGGAATACGCAGGCACAGTGGGGGTGCCAGCTTCCGGCCCTCTGCTGCCCCTGGCAGGTTCATGCAGGAGCTGACGGAGATGCTGGGCTTCCAGCCCTACCGCTTCTATTTCTACATGTGGAAGTTCGTGTCTCCCCTGTGCATGGCTGTGCTCACCACGGCCAGCATCATCCAGCTGGGGGTCACGCCCCCAGGTTACAGCGCCTGGATCAAAGAGGAGGTGAGGGGTGGCAGCCCGGGGCCCGGGGACATGGGGACCTTCCCAGGCCTTTAATGCAACAGGTGATAGAGACCAATCCTAGTGGGGCAATTGCTAAGTGCCCGGCCTGGTGGGGGCATTGCACACCTGACTGTAACCTTTCCAACAACCCAGGGCGAGGCGGCATCGTCCCTGTGGTACAGACAGGGACACGAGGGTCGAAAGGCTAACGCCCTTGCCCCTCTTTCTGACCTGTGCTTTCTCGCCCTGGTGTGGAGTGGACTCACCCACCCTTTGTACAAGTGCAGAAACTGGGGGTGCAGATGACCGGCTACCTCAAGTAGCAGTCCCTGCTGCCCCTCATCTCTGCTGGTGCCAGATGGCGGTGGGATGGGGAGAGGGCGGAAGAGGGGCCCTGCGCGGGTAAGGGGTGGCAGTGCCAGGCACCGGCCCTCACCCCCACCCACCCCCAGGCTGCCGAGCGCTACCTGTACTTCCCCGACTGGGCCATGGCGCTCCTGATCATCCTCATTGTCGTGGCGACCCTGCCCATCCCCGTGGTGTTCGTCCTGAGGCACTTCCACCTGCTGTCCGACGGCTCCAACACGCTGTCCGTGTCCTACAAGAAGGGCCGCATGATGAAGGACATCTCCAACCTGGAGGAGAACGACGAGACCCGCTTCATCCTCAGCAAGGTGCCCAGCGAGGCGCCCTCCCCCATGCCCACCCACCGCTCCTACCTGGGGCCCGGCAGCATGTCGCCCCTGGAGCCCAGCGGCAACCCCAATGGACGCTATGGGAGCGGCTACCTCCTGGCCAGCACCCCGGAATCAGAGCTGTGACCACCGCCCCTACCACGCCCGCCCCTCGCCTCCTCCCAGCCAGCCCTGCCCTACCTGGCTCTCCTCCAGGAGAAGGGCTGCCCTGCCTCATCCCCCAGCCCGTTCTGCACCCCAGACCTGAGTGGGGGCTGCGCCATCTAACCCTCCGAGATCCAATCACTGCATGGCAGCCGAGTAACTGGAACAGCCCAGAAGTTCTGACTCCCATACAGGGGAGGCTCCCAGGGGCCACTTTCAGGGTCACCCCTCCCTTCTCTCCCTCTAACCTGCTGCCTGCAGATCTTGGTCTCAGAGCCCTCTGCGCTGCCAGGTGGTGGGGTGGGGCGGGGTATCCCAGAGGCTGCCTGGTTGAAGGCAGGGGATGGGACGGATGTGCCAGGACCCAGGGCTCAGCTTGGGGTGGGGCTCCTTTGCGTGAGGCAGATGGTGCCCGGGCAGCAGAGGGGTGGGGGCCTCTCCACCCCCAGCTCTAGGTGGGGTCTCCGATGTCCTAGGCCAGGCCTGGGTGGTGGGTGCTCCTGCATCTTGCCTGGGAGGGCCATGCCTAGGTCTGAACCCTTCATGCCTCCACTGGGGCTTAGCATCTCCCTGTCCCCGCCCCTCCCCGCCCCATCCTGGAGCGAGTGGTGGCCTCTGCCTTTTCCTCGAGTCCCAGAGCACACTTGTCCACAGCACAATTCAGGTGGTTTGGAGCACAATTCGGGTAGTTTGGAGCACAATTGCAAAGCACATTCCCTCCTCTCACCTGGGACCCAACTTTCTCTCTAGTGGCAGCTTCTCCCTGGAACGGGGTTCCTGGAGTTCAGGGCCCTTGCCCAGGAAGCCTGGCACCTGGGAAAAAGATCATTCCACCGCCCTTTTGGGCTGCCACTCCCCCTCTGTAATGTAAGCACAGCTACCCAGTCCATGGCAGTCGGGGTCACAGACAGTGCTGTGGACGCTGAAGGCAGCCAAGGGGAGGGGCTAGGTGTCTGTGTCCCACCCCCACTCTTCCCTTCTGCCTACCCTGGAATAGAACCTGACCAGAGAACAACTGCCTGCAGAGTGATGGTTGGGCCATTGGAAGGAAGGATGGATGGATGGATAGATGGATGGATGGATGGATGGATGGATGGGTGGGTGGATGATGGATGCAAGGGAAGGAAGGAAGGATGGATGGATGGACCAAGGGAAAGATGGATGGATAGATGATGGGTGGATGGGTGGATGGATGGATAGGCCAATGGAAGGAAGGATGGATGGGTGGATGGATGATGGGTGGGTGGATGAGTGGCAAGGGAAGGAAGGATGGATGGATGGATGGACCAAGGGAAAGATGTATGGATGGGTGGATGGATGGATAGGCCAATAGAAGGAAGGATGGGTGGGTGGATGGATGATGGGTGGGTGGATGAGTGGATGGATGGATGGGCCAATAGGAGGATGGATGGATGGGTGGGTGGGTGGATGGATGATGGGTGGATGGATGAGTGGATGGATGGATGGGTCAATGGGAGGATGGATGGATGGATGGAAGATAGGAAGGAAGGAAAACTGGCCGGGACAGCAAACCTCTTTGAGAGCTGTGGTGGGCAGGGAGGGCCCAGGCCTGGGCGCCATGACAGAAGGTTCTGAGTCATGTGTGACTCTGACTGCTCTCAGCACTGGGGGGAAGGGGAGGACAGACTAGGCCCAGGTTGCCTCCTTAGCCCCTTAGTTTCTTGTGCCACCCCCCCTGCCTGGGGATCTATCCCCCCGCCCCACAATCTCCCTTACTTGCCCCTCCCTCCCCTTTCTGGCCTCTCAGCCCCCTGCGCTTCCTGTGAGGGGAGCGGGAGGCCCAGGTCTCCCCAGAGACATGAGCCTTTGGGGCATAATAGGCCGCCTTAGGCCCCTCCCCTGACACCACCTCCTACCGGGCCCCATGCCTAGTCCCACCAGCTCAGCAGCAGGAAGAGCAAGGCCCGGGAGAGACATGCTATATATACTCCGCTGTGTATTCTATTTCTATTGTATATGCAATCTGTACATGTGGGTGTAAATGCTGTTAAAGGACAACCCAGTATACTGTGGCTGCCGGACTATTTTCACCCTCAGTGCTGCACAGATCTATTTTCATTGTATATTTGATATATTTTTAATTTTGTAGCTTGTGGCCGGGCCAGGCCCCAGCCCGCCAGCCTGGGACAGGGGCGCGGTCCCTGACGGCTGGCGTGCTCCTAGCCTTTGGCTGTGGCCGGGCCTGTCCGGCTCTCTCTGCTGTGTTAGTCGTAGGGCCCAGAGCTTGGTGTGCGTGCGTGTGTGTGTGTGATGTGTGCACATACGTGGGTGTGGGTGTGTGTGGGTGCTGATTTGTGAACCCCAGTGTCCCCCGTGTCCTGAAGAGCCCGCTGCCCTCCCTGCTCCCCCTCCTCCTCTCAGCCAGGCCCCCAGGGCTGCAGGAAGCCCCTGCTGTGGGGGAAGCGGGCCATCCTTGCTGGTGCCACCACTGGGCTCCCAGACACGGAAGGAGGGGTCTTGGGGATGGAGCCCCCTGATTCATTTTCCAGTCACCTTCTCGCTGTCTCCACGGGAGTCACAAGCTCTTCATCCTGACAAAAGTCCAGGCTTCTTAAGCGGGTGAGACACCCCCTCCCCAGGAGGGCCCCTCACAGCGCCCTGCCCTGCACTGGCCTCAGAGGTCCGGACCGTTCCGAAGGGACCTGCGGCCTGTGGCCTGCGCTGTTGACACACCTTCGCTCGCTCCTCAGTGGGCGAGGCTGGGCAGGTGGGGCCTCTGATGAGGGAAGATCCAGCCTAGGCTTCCTGGGGGAGCAGGAAGGGGCTCCACCTGGCACAGGGTCCCCAACCCCCACTAGCACCGCAGGAGACGGCGACTCCAGGGCGGGCGTGCCTGAGAGAGTCCCCGGTCCCTGCCCCTCAGCCTGATCACCAGCTTCTTGCTCAGGGAGCCGACTCCGCTGAGGCAGCTTGAAGCCCCAGGCCCAGAGCGGGCAACAGTGGGGCTCACGAGCTGATCCCACTGAGCTCGGCTTTGCCCTCCAGCAATAAATCTGCAGAGACTGTTGCTTTCCTAGTGCCGGAGGCGCCTCCTGAGCCAGCGGCTGTGAGGCTGGGGGCCGGAAGCTGTGTGCTCCCAGGCCGGCAGGGCTGCAGCGTTACCGGCAGGGGCCACCCTTCTGCCCGTCCACCAGCCACACCCCTGCCACTGCCTCCCCACAGGGAAGAGAAGGAACCTGTTGGAAGGCACCTGAGCATCCATGAGGCCCCCAAACTGGGGACCTACTGCCTCTTCCCTGAGGCCTAACAACTGGGTCCCCCCTCACCCCGAGCGCGGCTTGGTACAGGCCCAGGTGCAGACAGCGAGCATCACTTTAGGTCCTGGCACAAGTTCATGGCCGGCAGAGCCCTGGGTAGGTCAAGACCACTCAGACCAGGGGAGGGGACGAGGCATTGTTCCCTGGAGCCCCCTTCCTCTCTACTCCCCCATCGTGTGCAATAAAGTGTCTGTTCTTACCAACCCCCTCTTGCCTCTCTGACCTGCCAGGATCGGGGATGGGATGGGGCAGCGTTGGGGTAAAAGCTTGGGTGGGAGCTGTGGGAGCTGTGGGCGTGGCTGGCTGGGACTTGGGGAGGGGGAGGAGGGCCATGTATTTATTCTCCACGAACTGTCTAGGTGCCCGTGTAGCAGGCCTTGTTGGGCTCCAAGGACTCTACACGCCCACTCTCGTGGGAAGTTCGCAACAGCTGTCTGAGGAAGGCGGTTGACCTTTGAACAACACAGGTTTGAACTGGACGGCACCACTTATACGTGGGTTTTTCCCAGTAAATATACAGCTGGCCCTTCATACCCATGGGTTTCCCATCTATGAATCCAACCAACAGAAGACAGAATTTTAAAAAAATATATTTGTATTGATTTCAGAGAGGAAGGGAGAGGGAGAGAGAAACATCAGTGATGAGAGAGAAGCATTGATCAGCTGCCTCCTGCACACCCTACACTGGAGATCAAGCCCACAACCCGGGCATGTGCCCTAACCGGGCATCGAACCGTGACCTCCCGGTTCCTAGGTCGACGACGGCAGCTGGGAAGCCTGACGCACTGCCCTGTGTCCCTTTCTATAAGGGACCCGACTCTACTGGGGTTGTGACCGCCCTATTCAAGGTCGGCTTGGTGGCTGTCCACTTGAGGAACATGAGGCTCCATCGACGTGAGGACGGTGTTTGGTGTCCACGTCCCGGGCTTTGAGGGGGAAATCCCTGCCCTGCCTTACTGCCAGGGAGAGCTCTGCCTGCCAGCTCTGCGAGGGGGATGGGGGAGGGGGGGCACCTCAGGGAGGGGCTGGGCTGGGCAGGCCTGAGAGCCAGGGAAGGGGCAGCAGGGTTTCTTGGAGCAAGCCACGTTCTAAGTCGTGAGAGAGCAGCCCCTCTCTTCAAACAGAAGGTAAAGATGAAATAGGGAATTTGTCATGGATTTAAGTGTTTAGTAAGCACCTACGGAGCTGCGGGTGGGGGAAGTGCTGCTCCGTGCCTCGCTCTCAAGGAGCACAGACTGGCTCCGGGGGAGGGGAAGGCCCCCCCACCCGCCTCGGCACCCCTCTCCAGCCAAGGTCCCCCGGGGTCTCTCCATTTCCTCCTCCTGCCGGAGGAGACGGTGTTGTTCCAGGAACGGCCAGCAGATGGCAGGAAAACCTTTCTATCCAGATCTCGGTCCCCTCGTCCTCCGTCACTTAACTCCTTTGTGGATTAGTCTATTCGTTGAACGAACACTTATTTTTATAACTGATTTTGTTTTTAGAGGAAGAAAGGGAGGGAGGGAGAGAGAAACATCGATTTGTTGTTCCATTTATATGCATTTATTGGTTGATTCTTGGATGTTCCCCGGGGGGAGGGGGGGAGGGGGCAAGCGGGGATTGAACCCAGCAACCTTGGCCTCATGGGACGCTGCTCTAACCAACTGAGCTACCCAGCCAGGGATGAACAAACTCTTATTAGGCATCCACTGTAACAGGCTCTGTGCCAGCTATGGCTGCTCAAGGATAAAGAAACCATTCCCATTGTCCTGAGTTGGGGAAAGGGAAGGGAACCTCTTCTCCCCTGAGTCCCCCACACTGACCCCAAACCTCCCCATATGTCTCTCTAACCGGGGAATATGTTGGTGCTGGAAATCTCACGCCTTGAAAATTTATTCAACCCTGTGGTTGAAGGTAATGTTTTGGGTTGAAATATCAACCCTCCTATCAGGAGGGACACACCAACCCCCTAAGAAGCAGTCTAACACAGCTTGGGTTTGAGGGAGTACGGAGCCAGACTTCCCCCGTTCAAGTTCAAAGGCCAGCTAGGCCCTCTGCCTCCTGGGAGACCGAGGCCTCGGCGCTTACATCTCCTAGTCTGTAAAACACGTAAAATGAATGGACTGAAATGAGACGGTGCATATTGCTGTGACTCAGGTGACCCCAAATCTTAGTGGCTTAAGACAACCGTTTTATTTTACCCACGGTGTTCTGAGGGAGGGATTCAGGCAGGGCTTGTCTGAGCGGCTCTCCTGGCGTCAACTGAGGCCAGACGCGCCGGTCGGAGGGTCCACGGCAGCCTCGCTCGCGCTCATCCCGACGGCTGGCACCTGGGGACAACGGCTACAGGGCTGGGCTCCGCCTGTCACCAGAGGAGCGTCCGTCCGCACTGGCCTGGGGAGTGTCGCTCATCTCCGGAGGGCAGACTCTTTCTGTGATGGCTCAGGGTGCCCGAGAGGCCATTTCAAGGGACAAGAGGTGAAGCTGCCTCTGCCCTCTGCCCCCGCATCCCACTGCCTCATCGGGTCCAGGCAACGAGCGTTCTGCGTGCCCAGGATTGTGCTCAGCACTG